TACTGAGGTATGCTGGCCTGACGCCGTATGCTGAGCTGATGGAGCACCGGCCCTCAGACACGTCCGCTTTCAAACATCAGCAGAGATGATGGAGACTTTCCATCATGGAGGTTCCCGGCAGCCATCTTTGTTTTTAGGAGGTTTGGGTTCATTTAATTTCATCCATGAAATCAGGATAAAAAAAAAAAAAAACTTCTGGTTTTATTCTCAGATCAACTTTAGTTTGATCCAAAATGTTTAAGATGAAATCTCTGAGCAGGAAGTAGTTCCTGTGTTTATCATGGCTGACGTCACATCTGGGCTCTGATTGGACGAGCTGCTGCTGAGTCACTTTCTACCAACGACCCGAGGTCGGATACTGACCGCTAATAAACGCTCTGAGCTTTGACCTGCAGGGACATTTACAGTCAATAGGTTTGGAAAGGCTGATGGTGAGACTGGACCGACCCGTCCATCGGTTCCGGTCCGATAAGCTCAGGTTCTGGACGGGATGTTCAGAACCTCATTGAAAAGAACAGGACAAACATTTTACCTTCTAATTAATCTGATGGGAAAAACTCAAAGCAGGAGGCCTGAACCAGCCAGACCCGNCCGGTACCAACAGAACCAATCAGCCTGGTTCCATCAACAGAAAATCATTTGTTCTGAACTCAGACCCTGGAGGGGAACTGAGGAGAACCTGTCGGCCCGTAGAACCAGACTGGGTCAATCCTGCAGCTCACATCCCACCGACCCGATACACCAGAACCAAGAACGAATTGCAGAAATCGACTTTGGTCCAAAAAGAAAAACCTGCAGAGCATCGGAGGAAGAGGAGGAAGAGGAGGAAGAGGAGGAAGAGGAGTGGATGTTTAGGAAAACATGAACAGAACTTTTCTCCTCTTCTGCCCCTTTAAAAACGGACCGTCAAACAGAACCAGAACCAAACGGACCCTCAATAAAGAGGAAAGATTCAGACAGACTTTCATCCAGCAACAGGCAGGGGAGGGGCAGCACGGCTTTACTTCTCTGAGCAGAAGAACCCTCTGATACCTCAGAACCAACCCGGTACCGGTTCTGTTTGCACCACAGACCCATTGGTGGTTCTTGGTTCTGATCCGGATGGTTTCTTTCATCTGAGACCATTTCAATAAGAACCAACATGAAGCAGGAGAAAACCGGGTCAGAACCAGAACAGAAGTTCTACAGATCGGTTCTGATTAGCCGAGTCCGTTTAACCAAGTCGGACCGTCAGGGTTCTACTCACAGCGAGTCCAGTCCACACGCCTCGACCCGGTCCGATCCACAGAGACTGCAGCACGTAATCCTGCTGCCTCAGAGCCCCTGAGCAAGGCAGCCTGGGTTGGTGGCTCAGTAACCAATCGGCAGCCGGCGCCGCCTGCTACAAGCCCCGCCCACTCTGCTTTGAATTCTGCTTTACATGAGACGGACCAGAAAGAACCGCCTGCAAACAGAACCAAACAAACAAGCCGCTTTGATTGGACCTCCGGAACCCAGAACCTGGATTCAAACCGAAGCTGTGAGAGAAAACCGGTTCTGATTCTGGTCCAGTTCTGGTTCCATCAGCCGTGTCCTGCTGAGCCCAGCAGGTTCTGTTCCTGTAGAACCAGCAGCGGTTCTGGTTTCGGTTTCACTCCTTTTCTCAGGCGGCTCCTGCTTTGTTTATGAGCAAACATCTCAGGTCCAAACCAACCGGATCAGAACCAGAATCTGCTCCTTTTCCTGCATTAAATCCTAACCAATCAGGGAAGGCCGGCGGGCCTCTGATCCGAGTCTCTCAGGTCACCAACCTGCAAGGTTCTCCGGGTCAGCCGCTGACCTTTGACCTCCGACATCGACTCATTTGGACTCTCAGCTCCAGATTTAAATCCTGCAGTTTTCCATAAGCAGCCTGAGATTTCCCTAAAGAAAAGCACCCATCCTGCCCCCGCCGGGAGACGGCCCGGGGACACAGGTCACCCGGTTCAGGTCCAACGTTCAGGACTCGGATCCGCGTCTTTAAGACGAAGACCCATGAAAAGACAGGAGGCGTTTGGACGTTCCAGGTTCCCCACCAGAGGACAGAACCACAGCACCGCTAAAACCAACCACAGATCTTCTGAATCGGATCTTTGTTCCAAACGTCTCATCTGCAGAGTTCGGTTCAACAGATGCAGTCGGTTTCTAACAGATCAGCTGATCCTTCAGTTCAACTCAAACTAAATCCTTCAGATTAAAGAAACTGGATTATAAATCAGAGAAACAGGAAATCCTGGAAACTACAGTTTAATCCATTAAAGCCGCAGTGGAGGATTTTCACAAACCTTTTAAAAATCAAAAGGTTCCCAAACCAGCCGGACCCCCAACCAAAAGTAATCACCCCCCCCCGTTGAATAATAATAAAGGATTAACCACATTTTCCCCCATTCTGCTGCCAACAATGAGCCGTTTTCCACCAAACCAGTTCCAGCAATAAACTGGTTCCCAGTCTGCTGCTGGGCCAGAGGGGAGAACTGGTTCCATCATCAGCCGGGGCCCGGGGCCCCCGCAGCTAATCAACGCACACTTAGCTAGCAATACACCATTAGCAGTAGTTTCACTTCATATTTTTTACTTTAACTCATTTGTTTCCACCCTGTTGCTATGGTTACCAGAGTAAACCAGGCCTGTTTGAAAAAAATGAGTTTTCCTGTTTCTATACGTGGAGAAGCTCCGTGATCCTGAGGTCACAGTAAAACGCCAAAAACTCTGGCGGCCATTTTCTGTCTCAGCCATCATATCAACAACTTTAGTCTTTAAAACACCAGAAGGAAGATAACTGGACATTTATTATATCGTTTGTACTTTAGTGGCCTTTTTCTAACAGAAGCTTTTTGTTCACATCTAAAGTTTTTAGGCTCTGGGTTTTTCCCTGTTCAGGTCTCCATGACGACGGGAGCAAACAGGAAATGTTTGTTAACACAACAGAGTCCTTGTGGGTCCCGGTCCAAACGTCCGGTGTTCTGTCAGCTCCGCATACGGCGTCAGCTCGGCATACGCCGTGAGGCGCCGTCAGGCCGGCATACGGCGTCAGGTGCCGGCATACGGCGTCAGGTGCCGTCAGACGGCGTCAGGCCAGCATACGGCGTCAGGCCGGCATACGGCGTCAGGCGCCGTCAGGCCGGCATACCCTCAGTGTTGCACATTCCAGTCTCCTCCGTCTCCGCTCCTTACAGCCATTCCTACCGTTTTATTTCCAGATTTTATCAGATTATTGTCGCATAAAAACAGAAAAGTTCCATTAGACACATTAAATTAAAAAAAACATTGCATGTCTGATTGACAAGGATCCTATTAAAGAAAAATCAGCTTTAATTCCCAGAGAATGAAATATTTATAGCGACCCAATGATGATAGAAGGTTTATTTAGTTTTTAGTTTAATATGAGCGCGATGCGGATCATTTTATTTTTACAGTACATGAAGATCGACTCCATCATAACCTGCTGGAAGAATCTGCAGCCTCTCATTGGACCTGATAGCCGCCAATAACGTATTACTGAGGTATGCTGGCCTGACGCCGTATGCTGAGCTGATGGAGCACCGGCCCTCAGACACGTCCGCTTTCAAACATCAGCAGAGATGATGGAGACTTTCCATCATGGAGGTTCCCGGCAGCCATCTTTGTTTTTAGGAGGTTTGGGTTCATTTAATTTCATCCATGAAATCAGGATAAAAAAAAAAAAAAACTTCTGGTTTTATTCTCAGATCAACTTTAGTTTGATCCAAAATGTTTAAGATGAAATCTCTGAGCAGGAAGTAGTTCCTGTGTTTATCATGGCTGACGTCACATCTGGGCTCTGATTGGACGAGCTGCTGCTGAGTCACTTTCTACCAACGACCCGAGGTCGGATACTGACCGCTAATAAACGCTCTGAGCTTTGACCTGCAGGGACATTTACAGTCAATAGGTTTGGAAAGGCTGATGGTGAGACTGGACCGACCCGTCCATCGGTTCCGGTCCGATAAGCTCAGGTTCTGGACGGGATGTTCAGAACCTCATTGAAAAGAACAGGACAAACATTTTACCTTCTAATTAATCTGATGGGAAAAACTCAAAGCAGGAGGCCTGAACCAGCCAGACCCGACCCGGTCTGACCCGGTCTGACCCGACCCGGTCTGACCCAACCAGGCCCAGTCTGACCCGACCCGGTCTGACCCAACTGGGCCCAGTCTGACCTGACCGGGCCCAGTCTGACCCAAACATGCCTGGTCTGACCTGAACGGGCCCGGCCAGGCCTGACCCAGTCTGACCCGACCACAACCGGTCTGACCCGACCGGAACCAGTCTGACCCAGAGGGATGCGACTAAGCCAGACTCAGCCCAGCCAGACCCGACCCGGTCTGACCCGACCGGGCCCGGCCTGGCCTGAACCAGCCAGACCCGACCGGGCCCGGCCTGAACCAGCCAGACCCGAACCAGCCAGACCCGACCCAGTCTGACCCGAACATGCCCGGTCTGACCCGACCGGGCCCAGTCTGACCCGACCGGGACCAGCCTGACCCAGAGGGACCCGACTAAGCCAGACTCAGCCCAGCCGGGCCAAACCGGACCCTGAATGATTCCCTGGGAGGGTCCAAAGCAGAAGAAGGAATTCTGCAGCAGATTCCAAAGATCAGAACCAGAACCAGAACCTTGACCCAGAAAGGGAGAAATGTTCTGGTTTCCTTCTTTGCTCCAGAACTTCCAGTCAGCCTGATTCAGACCCGGATCATCCCAACATTAGAGGCCAGAACCATCAGAACATTTCACTGGAGAAACTGCTGGGATCCAGAACCAGAACCAGCTGAGGGTCCCGGGTTTGGACCAGTGGTGCTGATTGGACCCATCAGGACATTCCAGGCTTCTGGACCCGTCAGAACCCGTCTCAGAACCTCAGCTTAATGGTTCTGATCCAGTTCCCAGTTATTCCATGAGACCTCCGCCAGAACCGAACCGCGGTTCCTCTCTAAACTCGGTCAATCAAACCGGAAGTAACTCACCAGCGGCCTCAGAAGTTCTGATTCGGTTCCGGTCCGGTTTCTCTCGGCGTTCCTGTCGTCGTGTCACCGAACCATGTTTGTTCGCAGCAGCAGCGCTTCTTCCTCCTCTTCCTCCTCTTCCTCCCCGCCCTGCCTCACGCCGCCCCCCCACTAACCTGTCGGACCGGTTCGACGCCTCGAGGCTCAGAGCAACAGGAGCCTCACCTGCCTGCGGAGGAAACACGTCACGCACCGGTGAGAGGCGGTAATTGGAGCCTTAATTGGGCCAGGTGTTGGAAGGGGGCGGAGTCAGTGAGCAGGAACAATAAACCCAACAGTCTTTCATTTCATCACTTTATGACTTTTATTCACAAACAGAACATTTGTTTTGGTTTAAAACCGTTTAAAGAGAAAAAAATGGAAATAAACAAGATTAAAATGATTAATATTGGTTTAATATTTGATAAAAGGCTGTAAATAACGATTATTTAGCAAATCGATTAATAATCAGATTAGCAAAGGTTCCTTTAAGATTTTTATGAAATTAAACCAGATGAAACTAAAAGTTCTGGATTGTTGGACAGACTGAGAGGAAAGTTCAATTAGTAAATTATTGATGATTATTTCAATAATAGGATTAATTGTTTTAAAGTAAATATTTTATTGTATTATTTTAACATTTAAATGCTGCCACTTGTGTCTCTGCTGTATCTATATATATAATTTTTTATGTTTGTATTTTTCACTGTAAATTTCTGATTGTTGTGTTTTTAGGTTTAAACAATTTTAAGAGATAAAAATATCTTTTTCACTAATTCTGCTGCATTTGCAGGAAAGATTATTAATGTTCGCTGTTCCTGTCAAATAAATCAATAAATAAAAATAAACATATTTAATGTTTCAGAGCAATAAATGAACTGCAAGGCCAGGTCAAATGCTCTGAAAAAAAAAGTGTTTCTTGCATGTATGAATTTTATACAAACATATTAAAAAATATCAATAAATAATTTTCCAGGTGTTCATTCTTTTACTTCTATTGTAACGTTGGAGGAAAGATGCCAGAAAACAGGAGCTGCTTTTAGGGTCAGATGGAAACGCAGAGCAGGAGGAACCAGAAGCTGATTTGATTTTGTTGGTTTCTGTTCAGTTTAATGAATTATTTTTAGTTTCCAGCTGTTTTATTTGTTGGAACCAAAAGGTAAATCTAAACCTCCTGAAACTTTTACAGTAAATAAACTGCAAACTACTTAATTCAGTAGAAACCCTGGAACAGATGGAGGAAATGAACCAGAAATTATCTTCAGACTGTTGATCACAGAAATCAATATTATTGCCCCTCGAATGACAGGTTGCTAAGGGCCCCCTGGAGGTTTGGGTCCCGGTCCGTTGAAGCGCGGCCCTTCAGTTTGATGCCTCCATCCTGGTTGATGTTTCCAGGTCTTATTTCTGTCTTGATGAGAATCAGGATTTAATCTGAGATCAAAAAACAATCACATTATAAATCAAAGTATTTTATTTAAGCAAAATGCCTTAAACATTAAGTTAAAAACATATTATTTATTTCTAATCATGATAAAGTATTATGTGACGTCAGTTGAGCTGATTTCCAGAATCATTCAGTTAAAGATTTAAATCCTGTTTCCTATTTAATGTAACTTTATGAAGACGAGATCCTCAGATTCTAGTTTGTGATGATAGTTTAAATATAAACTGATCTTTATTGATTAATAATCCAATAAATGCCAATTGTACTTGATTCACTTTTATTTAAAAAAAAATCTAGAAGCATTAAATAAATAATAAATAAATAAATAAATAAATAAATAATAAATAAATAAAGCCCAGATAGAGGGATTTTATTCTCTCCTGCTAAATTAAAAGGTAGATGTCAACATTTTTCCTTCTTTATTAGACTTTTTTATTTTTTTTTTGCAAGTTAAAAGGAAAATAAATGCTTTCTATTGCTTTTTTCTTGTATTCCATGTAGATCACATTTATAAAATCCAAGCTAAACTAATCTGTACCTGAAGAAATGTATTTTTTAAAGCCTAACCAAAGTAAACCAGTGGAAGGTTTAATGTCTCTGGTCTTTGCTGTGCAGTCAGTGGCACATCATGGCCACCAGAGGGCAGTAACACACCATAAACCCACCAAATGCTTCCAGGCCCTGAATCCCTCCCAGCTTCGACCTCCAGCTGAAGCTGCAGGATCAGAAAGCAGAGCAGGTATCGAACACCTGGACCTCAGCAGCTTCATCAGGTGCTGCAGAATGTGTCGCCCTGCAGGCGTCCAGCTGCAGCTCTGATGATGGATGGAAACACCCTGATGGAGCCTCAGAGAGGATGGTGAGGGGAACCTGTGCTGGACTTCTGATGGAAGCTGATCCTGATCCTCCTGCAGGCTTAAAGGGTTTCTTCTTCTTTCCAGGATTCAGCTCCATCCGTCTCCTCATGAACTCTGTACCATCCTGCTGAAGGAGGAAAGCCCTCAGGATGATTCTGCCACCACCATGTTTCAGAATGGTGTTTTAGGTCAGTGTGGTCTCCTCTGAGCGGAGCAGCCTCTTCACCTCTGGCGGGCGGTCCCTCCATGTTCTGATGGTGAACAAAGACCTGGAGATGTTCAGCGTCTGACAAACACAGCAATGATCCAGCAGGAAACATCCTGATCATCTCTGAAGGGTCCTTATTGATCGGAGGCATCAGCAGGAACCAGGAACAGGAGAGACTGTTTACGGCTAAAGTGTTAGCTTCGGACAGCTGAGAGACAAAACCAGGCAGAAATAGTTTCACTCTCAGGATTTTATCCTTTATTTTTCTTTCTCATAGTCTGAACCAGTTGGTTCCTGTAAAACATTAAAATGGAAAAATAGTTTAAACTTCTGCATGAGAGAAAAAAGAAAAGTTAGCTGAAGCTGGATGCTAACGTTGAAACGTTCTTCCTTTGGTCCAGAAACTGGGATTCAGCTGAAGAACATTTAGTTCATCCATGCTTTGGTTCCTTCTCTGCATTTATCTGGAATGGGTTCAGAGTCACCTGGTGACATGGAGATGACCAGCTGGGTGTGGTCTGCGTCGCTATGGTAACTGATGTTTATCCAGATGTGAGTCAGGGGAGCATGGAGGGGCCCTAAGGTGGAGCCATGAGGAACGCCTCCTGGGATCTTTGTGGTTCTGATGGAAAGTTTCCTGCTGAAACTAAAACTGTTATCAAGTAAAAGATGAAAGGAATCACAGGTGGAAACTCAAATGTTTCTGTTTTCTCTTTCCAAGCAGGTGGATTCCAGGAACTTCAGGATACTTCAGCTTTTTTCTGCCTGTTTAAGTTTCTGCGTCTGAATTTTCCTGATAGTTTATGTTATTCTGAAAAAGTTCAGACCTGCTGGAGAAAAAGCTGGAAAATGAGGATCTTTCTGGCGACCTGTTAACTCAGAGAACCTTCAATTTCTAAAAGTTTCATGTTTGGAAGCAAAGCTGCAGGAAAGGAAAGCAGATTTTTGGGCAGACAGTCCTTTCCAACTTTTATCTGCTACTCTAAACCCTCAGGACCTCATTAAGAATGAAGGTTTTTATCTGACTGTTTCTGGGGCTGGAAGGTTTGCTCACATTTTGCTGCCAACACAGATATTTCCAATTTCCATGGAAGGAGAACCAGACGACAAGCCTTCACATCAGTTTGGAAGCTGAAAATCTCAGCATCTCCACTGTGATCCTTTGAGGCATTTCTTCCCTTCCTCCAGCAAACACTCTGAGATTTAAAGCAGCCTGTAGCTGCAGCAGTGAGATGTGGTCAGCAGGGGGCAGCGATGTCACAGCCTTTAGCTCCTGACCTGGAGTCTGGAGGCATCCGGACTCTCATTAAGACCCTGTCCACACAGCCAGGATCTCAGCCCCCCTTCCTTCAGTCCAAACAGCCAGGAAACACAAAGCTGCAGCACTAATGGATCATTTTCT